CGTGAACTGCAGTCAACTACGTGGGAGTCCAGTGACATAGCCATTACGCTAACTGCTGGTCCCCACCTGGTGGCTTGCTTTCTCATTTGATCTCTCTGGTGAGCACACATGCCTTGTGGGAAATGAAAATAATAATAATAATAATAATAAAATTAAATAACTTTGAAAGAATCCATCTCATCTGAGGGAAAATTCTAAGAGAGTATAGAAAAAAAATTGAAGTCATCCAGATGGCAAATTTATGACAAGCCTTCACCTCTTAGAATTTGGAATATCTCGGGCCAGCAGATGGCACAGAGGGTAAGGCACTGGATCCCACATGGCCAGCTGTGCAGTTTTGAGTTCTGAACCCAATGTCTTGAAACTCATGCTAGATAAATGTGCATGTGTGCTCAAAATCCCAAGAGACTGGCAGAGAAGGGATTATGGTGTGGGCATCCCGATTCCTATAGGTGATTTCTCACTTTCTCTCTCTCCATCTCTTCCCCTCTATCTTTGTAAGTTAGTGCACTCTACAGCAAAACTAAAACAACTTGTTTCTAAAAAAACAAAGAAGAATTTTGAATATCTTGAATTAGAATTTGGAACATGTTAAAATTAGAATTTGCAATTAAGTTAGTTGTCATAGAGATTCCCATTAACATTTATTTGCATGGCAAAATGAAGCGAGTTGTGATGTTGCCTCTGAGTACAGATTTGAACAGATACTTCACAAAAGAACATATATGAATGGCCAATAAGCACATGAAAATTTATGATATTAGGCATCAGGAATGCAGATTAAGGGACCAGAGGGTGGTGTAATGGTCACACCATTGCTGGATTCACATGTAGTCAACTGCAGTTCGAGTCCTGGATCTGGAGACTTAAAACTCATGTTGGGCACATGTACATGCATGCCCAAGATCTCAAGAGTATGGAGAATGGAGGAAAAGAAATTGCAGTTTGGCTATCCTCCATGGGTGTATGTATGTGTGTGTGTGTGTGTGATATCTCTCTCTCTCTCCCTTTTTTTTTTTTTTTTGAGAGGTTTTTGCTGTAGGGCACGTGCACTCACCAGAAAGACAGATAGAGACAGAGAGATAGAAAGCAAGAAATCACCGCCCAGGGGGGATGGTCATGCCACAATCCCTTCTCCTCCATTCTCCTCTCGGGATCTTGGGCATGCATGCACATGCGCCCAGCATGAGTTTAAGCCACCAGGTCCAGGACTTGAACCGCGGTTGACTACATGGGAGTTCAGCGACATAGCCATTACGCTAACTGCTGGTCCCTCACTTTCTGTCTTGCTGTCTCTCCAGTGACCATGTTCACCCTCTAGCAAAAATCTAAAAAACAAACAAGCAAAAAAAGAAATGCAGATTGAAACTACAATGAGATACCATTTCCCATTGCTAGAATTTCTTTTTATTTATTTTTTCTAGAGGGTGCCTGCACTAGGTAGAGAGAAAGACAAAGAGAAGGGACTGGAATTCCCCCATGGTTAATAGTCTCATTGCAATCCCTTCTCCTCCATTTCTTCCTTCTTTAAAGACTTTGGGCATGCAAGCACACATGCTTGGTGTGTTTCTCAAGCTGCCAGGTCTGAGACTTGAACCACAAGACTGGCTGTGTGGGATCCAGTTCCATAACCACTAGGTCACAAAGCCAGTGCCAACTGGCAAGAATTTTTAAGATAAATAAATAAAAACATGATACCAGGTATTGGAGAGGATATGGAGCAATTAAGAGAGTGTGCAATGGTTTGATCACTTTGGAAAATGGTTTGACAGTGTTTTATAAATCTAAATATACACTTACTATGTAAGGCAAAAATTCCAGAATTATGTGGCTCTATATTACATAAAACAGACACACATACCTGCACACACCAAGGATTGTACAAGAATGTTTGCAACAACTTTACTCATAATATCCAAAATATTATAATCATCTAAGTGCCTATCAAAGAAATGGATGAATTGTAGTATATTTATACAAAGAGGTACTAAAATAATTGCTGACACATGCAACAATATGGATGAATTTCAAAAACATGTTGAGTGAGAAGGCAGGGGGAACGAGATGTTTACATGAAGTTTTAGAGCAGGCAAAACTTGGGCCACCCCCGTGACTTGGTGGTTAAGGCAGCTAGATCCACTTGGCTGACTGAGCTGTTGGAGTTCTGGACCTGGTGGTTTGAGAAACACGCAACATGGGGGTGCTTGTGCGTGCATGACCAAAATACCGAAGGGAGGAAGAGATAGAGGAGAAGGGATGGCAGCGTGAGTGTTCCTCATGGGGGCTGCTTTCTCGTTTTCCCCCTCTCTCTCTAGTGAACACACATAGCTTTTTGCCAAAAAAAAAAAAAAAAGATAAAACTTACCTAAGTGTAAGAAAGTAATCAGTGGTTACCTAGTATTGGAGGCGAGAGAAACTGACTACAAAGGCAAAATAAAGAACTTTCTGTACTGATGGAAATGTTGATTGTGCTGGTTATAAAACTCACCAAATTGTAAACTAAACAAGAGCATTTACTATATGTAATTTGAACTCCAATACATTAGATTTTTTGTTTTGTTTTGTTTGTTTTTGGTATCGGGCATGCATATTCACCAGAGAGAGACACAAGGAAAATGAGAATCACCCCTAAGAGGGGATAGCCATGCTGTAGTCCCTTCTCCTCAGTCTCTTCTGGGATCTTGGGCACATACACACACACACACACACACACACACACACACACACACACACACCTGGTGTGATTTCCAGGGCACTGGGTCCAGGACTCAAACCGTGGAGTCAGCCATGTGGGATCCAGTACCTTAACCTCCACATCACCTGCTCGCCCCCATTTGATTGATTTTTGTGCCATATGTGCTTGCTGGAGAAAGACAGAGGGAAAGGGAGAAATCACCCCGTGGGGAGGAAGGCCATGCTGCAATCCTTCTCCTCCACTCTTCTCTCATGACGCACACATGCCCAGAGTGATTTTCAAGTCGCTGGGTCCAGGACTCAAACCGTGGTTGGCCATGTGGGAACCCAGTGCCCTAACCACCATGATACTTGTGGGCCCCCACATTTGATTTTAAAACACATTGGGACCAGCAGATGGCGTAATGGTTATATCACTGGACTCTCACATAGTCAATTTCACTTCAAGTCCTAGACCCAGTGACCTAAAACTCACAAGGGGCACATGTACATGCATGCCCAAGATCATAAGGAGAATAGAGGAGAAGGGACTGCAGTGTAGCCATCCTTCCTGGGTGGTGGTGGGGGGGGGGCAGTTCTCACTTTCTGTCTCTCCAGCAAGTGCACATGCCCTATAGCAAAAAAACTCTCTTAAACACACACACACACACACACACACACATACACAAAACTCTCCAAAATGAAGTCTTTTAAAAGAATCACTTGGCTGATTAACAACAAAGACTGGGTTGGCTAATTAGGTAATAAATAAAGGCTGTTCCATAAATTGAATGAAAGCCAAGTATTTGATTAAAATATACTTAATGTATATAATAAGATAAATACTTTTTATCAAAGCATTTTACATTGGCAAAGATTGTCAGCATTTTCTGAGGATTTGGAGTTAAGCAGGCATCTCTAAAGCAAATGAAAAAGCCTGAGATGGATGAGTATCTGATAGGTCTGCAGTATCCTTGCCAGAAGGTGAGAAAGGGAATCATCCAATGAATGCTGGCACATTCTCTCACAAAGTAGATGTTCTCTATTTATTTGCTTATGATGTGATTGAGAGAGGACGTAAGTGAATTATTAATGAATATATCTTTTTTTTATATCAGATCACTGTGACTTTCTCTTTTTTTGGCATATAACTAAGAACTAGTTTAAAAATATAATGCCGGTGTGATGATGAAATGCCTGTTTTTGTTATTGTTTCTACTGTGCAACTGCTTCCATACCAGCAGCCCACAGGCAGACTGGGCAAGAGCTCAAGGGCAGTTTGCTCCGACTTGGGGCACTGTGAGAGGCTCAGGGGAAGAGCCTGCCATACATCCAAACTCATGCATAAGCTTCTTTAATTTCCATGAACTTTTTCTTCAGAGAGATTTTTGCTATAGCGCGTACATGCTTGCCAGAGAGAAAGAGAGGCAGAAAGTGAAAAATCACCCCCCTCCCCAGGGAATGACCACACCACAGTTGCTTCTCCTCCATTCTCCCCTTGGGATTTTGGGCATGCACGCACACACGCCCGGTGTGTTTTAAGCCACCAGGTCTGGGACTCGAACTGCGCTCTACTATGTGGCAGTCCAGCGATATAACCATTACGCCATCTGCTGGTCCCTCCATGAACTTATGTATGAAGCATTGTATCTCTAAAAGTAATAATTAAAGTTAACCAAAATTGTTCAAGCATTATTGTAACAATGTCATTGTAAAGCACTACTGTAACAACCCTGCCTAAAGGGTGATCTGACTTTCCAAGAGAACGTAAATTACTTTGATTTACTATTTAGAAAATCACCTCACAGGTTGTTGCTTTATTACCTTTAAGTTATTGACCAGGTTTGTATCTGGATTAGTAATCTTATACCAGTATCCCTTTTTGTCACTGGCAATATACTACTGTGTGTAAATTTCTTGTCTCCTCTTCTGAATTAGTTTGTCATCTTTCTTGTCCTCATTAACAAGTTCATCAAAATTTTGGCATGGTGGCCAGCAGATGGTGTAGCACTTATGTTGCTGGCTTCCCACGTGGCTGAACACAGTTTTGAGTCCCAGACCCAGTGGCTTGCAACTCACGCCAGGAGGGTGTGCATGCATGCCCAAGATCCCAAGGGTATCGATAATGGGGGAAAAGGGATTCCAGTGTGGCCATTCCCCCCTCTGGAGGAGGGTTCTCACTTTTCCTCTCACTGTCTCTGTCTCTCTCTAAAAAACAAAACAAAACAAAACAAAAAACCCCAATACTTTGGCATGTGTTCAGAATCTGTTTGAGAATTAAATTTTTGATATTTTGAGAATTACCTCTGACTCAATAAGAGCAGGGGTGGAGATGTGCTAGATAATGCTGAATCTTGTCTTATTCTAGCTATAAGGAACATTTCTTCCAACAGACCCATGAGCCAAATTAAAAAATATATATATATTTATCCCGTGAGTGAGAGAGACAGACAGACAGACAGATGGACAGGCAGGAACCCTGACAGGGTCCTGACACTGTAGTCCACTCCCAGCTTCTGCTACTCCCAGATCACAGCACACCGGGCATGCTGGGTATATCAGGGAGGTCTCCAGACACGAACAACACCCCTCCCACATGGGTCTGCCCGGGAGTGTCACTCCCCCCACCTCACCTTCTGGCTCTTTATGGACCCAACTTTTTAAAAGCCTCATGTCATTAAGAGTTACATTTTCAATAGAGTTGTACTGTTGTGTTTAATAAGTATTTGTATTGTTTGTTGTTTTGATTAGCATACTAATAATTCTTGTAATGATAAGCCTGGAAGAAAAATTTGTTTTAAGATTTATTTATTTAATTTTATTGTTATTATTATTTTTTAACTTGACCAGAGAGAGAGAGAAGGGGAAAGTGAAAGCAAACATCCAGGTCTGGGACTTGAACCATGGTCAGCCATGTGAGAGTCCAGCACCCTAACTACCACACTACCTGCTGGCCTCAAAATTTTTTTTTAAAGAGAGATTTTTGCTCTAAGGCACGTGAGCTCTCTGGATAGACAGAGACAGACAGAGAGACAGAAAGTGAGAAATCACCCCCCTGGGGGGACGGCCATGCCACAGTCCCTTCTCTTCTATTCTCCTCTTGGCATCTTGGGCACACATGCACATGTGCCTGGTGTGAGTTTTAAGGCTCTGGGTCCAGGACTTGAACTGCGATCAGCCATGTGGGAGTCCAGAGACATAACCACTATGCCATCTACTGTTCCTAAAATATTTTTAAACACTAGTGCTTTAGCTTAGGTTCTTCCCTTCAGTATAGGTCATGCATTTTGGAAAAAGATTCTGAAGAACAGGTGAGGGACTGGGGAGAGTAAGCACAGGAGGGATAGCCACACTAGTGTATTACCGAGCTGGTTATCCTGCTTGGTCAAGGACTGCCCCAAAGGAGTTTATTTCCTGTGAGAATGTACACACGGAGGTGACAGAGAACCTCTGAAGCAGAAAGCACTGAAAGAGATGGGACTGTAGTATAGGGAGATGGCCTTAAGCTATTGGGTTGTCAGAAAAGTCATGTGCATTTTTGTATAGAATGCCAGAAAAAGTACGTCATGACTTTTCCGACAACCCAATACAATAGTAGCTGAGGGAGAAGGTCAAGAGGTTGTAAAATATGGTAGGAAAGTTTTTGTCCAAGACAACTTGGATTCATTCTTTCTTTCTTTCTTTCTTTCTTTCTTTCTTTCTTTCTTTCTTTCTTTCTTCCTTCCTTCCTTCCTTCCTTCCTTCCTTCCTTCCTTCCTTCCTTTCTTTCTTTCTTTCTTTCTTTCTTTCTTTCTTTCTTTCTTTCTTTGCCAGAGAGCACATGTGCTCTCTGGTGAGAGAGAAGGCAAGAAAGCACTCCCTATGGGGCATGGGTATGCCACAATCACCTCCCCGTTTTTATCTCCTTTAGGGATTTTGGGCATGCATATACACACACATGCACCCAGCATGTTTCTCAAGCTGCCAGATCTGGGACTTGAACCAGGTGGTCAGCCATATGAGATCCAGCCCCTAACCAGGCCACAAGCTGGCTCTACGACTTCGACTTTTGTAGTCAAAGGAAATTTTAACATTTTCCACTCCAATTAGATACATATTTTTACTATAGGAAAGTATGACAGTGATCAGTAAGACACTTCTGAGCATGTAAATGCTCTTGGTTTAGTTAAAATTCTGTGGGAGAATGAAAAAATACAAGTTTAAGGAGAAACAATGTAAACGCTCCAACTGTTAAGGAGAGCTTGTGCCTGTATGGGTTTTAAGTGGATACTATGGGGATCAAATTTCTACAGTACTTAGAGTCTAATGGATACAGTTTATGAAGAGATGTAGCAGTTTCATTGTAGACATTAACATTTACCTTATTCCAGAAATTTTGTCCTTTGCAGTTATTTAAAGGATGAAATCTTGAGATCTTCACTTAAAAGTGCGCAAAGAGGTACATAGTTTCCCAGAATTCTCTGAGTCAACACAAGCAAAGATATTTAAAAACTGATTTCAAACATTCCTTACCTAATACCTAATTCCCACCAATTTGTATGCAAGTCAACAACTGGAGAGTAACATCAGGGGCCAGACAGTGGTACTGGCAGGTAACACAATGCTTTGCAAGGTTGATCCACATGGAAAGGTTCCAGGTGCATGCCAGAGACCTCCCTGAACACTGTGGGTGCACACATACCTGTGATCTGGGAATGACTGAAGCGGGGGGTTGATTTTTCGCTATAGGGCACGTGCGCTCGCCAGACAGACAGACAGAGACATAGAGACAGAAAGCGAGAAATCACCACCCAGGGAGGATGGTCAGGCCGCAATCCCTTCTCCTCCATTCTCCTCTGGGATCTTGGGCACGCACGCACATGCGCCCGGCGTGTTTTAAGCCACCGGGTCTGGGACGCGAACCGCGGTCGACTATGTGGGAGTCCAGCGACATAGCCATTACGCTAACTGCTGGTTCCCCGGGGGGTTGATTTTGACGTAAAGACCCTACTGGGTTTCCCCCCCTAACCCCTTGCTCATACAAGAATGAAATTTGGAGGGAGGTGGGACTAGGGAACCAGCAGGTGGCATGGCAGTTGGGATGCTGGATTCCCACATGGCTAGCTAGCCACGTTTTGAGTCCTGGACCCTGTGACTTGAAGGTCACTCTGGGTGCATGTGTGTGCATGACCAGGATCCTAGGTGGAAAATGGAAGAAGGGGGATTGTGATATGGCCATTCGCCCTGGGATGATTTCTCACTTTCCCCTCTTCGTCTTTCTCTGTCTCTCTCCAGTGAGCACATTTGCTGTATCACAAAGCAAACAAATAAAAAGTCAGTGCCTTACACTGGACAACAGGTACGCATTTCCAAGCCAACTAATATGGTTACCAAAAAAGGAACAAAACTATGTACTTTTATTTTTTTAAGAATTATTTTATTTAATTTTATTTTCTTCTTTTAATTTGACCAGAGTGAGACAGAGAGAGAGAGAGAGAGAGAAAGTAAGAAAGCAAACCGCCAGGTCTGGGACCCGAACTGTGGTCGGCCATGTGGGAGTCCAGCACCCTTAACTACCACGCCACCTGCCAGCCCCATAGTTACCAAAAAAAGGAAAAAAACCTACATTCTAATAACCGTTCTTTCTCAAATCCCCATTCTTTTTTTTTTTTTGGAGAGATTTTCACTGTAGGGCGCGTGCGCTCGCCAGACAGACAGAGAGAGACATAGAGACAGAAAGCGAGAAATCACCCCCCAGGGGGGATGGTCACGCCGCAATCCCCTCTCCTCCATTCTCCTCTCGGGATCTTGGGCACGCACGCACACGCGCCCAGCGTGAGTTTTAAGCCACCGGGTCCGGGACACGAACTGCGGTCGACTACATGGGAGTCCAGCGACATAGCCATTACGCTAACTGCTGGTTCCCTCAAATCCCCATTCTTCATGACCATGGAGAAACCCATGGTAGTCAGGTCTAAAGTTTTTCAGTTATCTGAGGTTTACACTCAGTAGACTTTAGGGTTCTTTTTTTTTTTTTTCCCCCTTTACTTCCTCCTCCCCTGGGTGGTGTCTCCATCTCAGAGAACCATACAATGTCATCATTTCAGATAGGCAACACTGCCCATGCTAGCATCTGCTGAAATGTTCATTTTTCTATCCGTCTCCCAGGGTCAGTCCACTCACTCTGCCCCTTTTGTCCCACTGGCGAGGCTCCTCCAGCTCCCGTAGCCCCATGCTCACAGTTTTGCTTGCTTCATTAGGCTGGAAAATTTGGCTTCTCTTCTGTGCCTCTCTGGGTCATGAGGATAGAGCATCGGGGCCACTGCTGACAGCTGTGCAGCCTTTCTAAGGCTGGCCTGTCACCT